TGTCATCCCATAGTTTGATTCAATCGGATGCCGTTTGCAGTCACTGAATCAGCAAATCTGCAGCACAAGTTCAGTTCAAACTGCACCAAATCAAGTTGTTACTGAAAGATAAGACACCTTTATATTTATTGATAACCATGAGCCTTCATTCACTTATACTAGCTGACCCTCCACACAGTGATGATGAAACACGTCCAAATACTGACTGAAGTATTGTTGGATGAGATACTGATTTGCAGTGTTTGCAGATTAAAAGGATAAAACTATTATTTGTGCCATATTTCTCTGTAAGTCCTGGACTGACGCTGAGCTGCAACCCTGGCAGGGATGGACGTGCCAGCAACTACACAGAAACACCTGCAGCCTTCCTCACCAACTCAATTCAATCAGCAAAGAAAATATGGTGCCAAGCGATCATGGGGGGTGGAGCCTAGCACACTCCACACAACCATTCACACCCATGGGCAGTTTAAAATCATCAATCAACCCAACCCCACCAAATGCATGTGTTTGGACTGTGAGAGGACGCTGGATGACCCAGAGAGACGCCACGCAAACATGGGCAGAACACGCATGCAGAACAGGCCAACTCAGGACCTCAGGACCCCCACCATGTTATAACTGGTGCGGGTCCTGATGCTGCTCAATGGATAACATGTTAATAACAAATCGATGCCACATTTGATAAAAGTGTGGAAAAATTCAAAGAGACTCCAAAAATCAAAGTGATAAACTGATGCAGCAGGATATGTGCCTGTATGGACGTCTGACAACATGGGGGACAGGGTCTCCTCCCAGACCTGGACCAGGGCATCGTTGAGGTGAATCTGGGCAGGTTAGGTGGAACAAAACATGATGTCCTGGAGCTGCTCTACTGGGTTTAGGTCAGGCATAGTGTGCATGTATACCACACGGTGTGTGGGGGCATTTGCACTACGGACAGCTTAAAAACGGCGTTGTTATTGACACTGGTGCTTATATTGTTCTAATACTTTTTTAAATGCCTCTTACTTTTTTGTACCATATCAAGTCTGAGCGCACCGAATAATCTGACCTATGGTACCCGTATTATACGGATAAACTCATCAGGAAGGCCAGCTCTGTTCTGCTCTGTTCTGG